GTGTGTGTGTGTGTGTGTGTGTGTTTGTTACAGAGCGGTACAGTAGGGGGGAGGTGACATAGATCTATTATAATTCCCTGTCGCCGGCTTCTACAATAACAAAACCTATCTCTTGTCGGAATAGCCCAGCACGCCCGCCTTTCCTTTCACCTTTGTTTGTTTTGTGTTTTTTTAACACCTGCATGGATAGCCAAGATTTATGACCATGTCCCTCGCCTTGGTAGCGCGAATTCTGCCCCGTGAAACAGCCAAGCAGAGAAGGAAATGAAAAGTTTTGTGCGTTTTTTTCTGCATACGGTACATGTATTAGTAACTAGCGGTTAGTTGTTCCCGGATGGTGACTTTCTTCTTGGAGGTGTGCGATACAAGTGTCCTTTAACTCTTAAAGGTCGGCAAGTCTACTGCATTAATCATCGTTTTCTCTCGTTTTCCTCATAATTTATCATAACTATGGGCTTGCCCGCACTACAACAGTGTCCTCATATTCAGATCTTCTCTCTTTAAAAAAAATGTTGCACGGTAATACGTGCATTAATCTTGAAATCTTTCCCCCTTTTTTTTATACTGAAAATGCTAGCGCATACATTAATTATATCAATTGAAACTTGTTCCGACAAAGCAGGGAATAGGCTGACGAGTTGTAAAAGTTAAAGAGAATGCCGCTGAGACAAGGAGATGATTTTTCTCCAACGCTTCCTTTTCAGTGTCCCACGTAATGGTTGATGTACTGATAAAACTGATTTCTTCATTTTGGCTTGAGTGTTATCCTCGGACAAAATTTGCGTCATTAAATATTATGTAGTACGCTGCTTGCTTTCCCTGAGAAAATGTTAGATTTAAACTGCTAAGTGTCGACGGCTTATTAATTGTTTCGTACAGAGGAGAAATCACAAGTAATTACCAAGGTATGCTATTATATTTTATTATGTCCTGAGAACCCGGCTCATGGAATTATTGTTTCTTATCCACAAAGTATGCTGCACTCTTTGTAATAGCCGTGGGTGTCTATATGATGTTGGATAGTATGTCGAATAGAGTATAATATCCAATTATATTTAGGGAGCAGGATAGATTATTATATAATTTGAAAATTTTCGCGCGTTTTGTGCTTTCCGCCAAATTTTTTGTTTGTTTGTTTTAAATAAAGTATCGTCGATTTTTCTTGTTTCTGCAGTTGCTGTTTCGATTTTAGTCAGTACTGCAATTGGTATAATACCTTTGTTATTGCAGTATTGTCGTTATTATTTGTATTGTTGTTGCTGATGATCTTGTTGACATTTTCTAATGTTTCGTTGCTTTCGCGTATATTTTTGTTGCTCGGGCAGCTATCGTTGCTGTCGTCGTCATCGTTTCTGTTGTTGTTAGATTGCATATGTTACTTTCCATCTTCTGGTGGTATTCTTTGGGTATTTTCGCTCTCCTTCAAGTCAATTCTGTCGTTGTTTATAACATTACATTTGGTACAATTTCCCTTTGTGCTCGGATGATATTCAATCAGTCAACCAGAGTTTATACCTGTCCCCTTGATTCTTTTATCGTGCCCTTTAATTTTATCGATTGTGATTGGCCCCTGTGTGCGGGATCTGTACCAATCAAAACGATTTCCTCCGCTCCCACACAAACACCCCAACAATGTATTTTTTTTCTGAAACATTGGGGACCGATGAATATACTGTGTAAAATAGTGCCATCTCCCCACGCCCAGTCCCACAACCCTGTCCAGATTTATTAGTCTTCTGTTATCGATAAATCAGTGTTAGTTCGATTGCAAGGTACCCCGGGATTGAGGAGCGGCACTGTGGGTTTGATTTGGGCTCAGCGATCCACATTTAGGCGATATGTCAAAACCCCAGGATATCGTGAACATTAAGCAATGTGCACACGAATTGTAAAATCTGCGCACGAGTTTGATATGAAAAAAATTAAGACTTTAGAAGTGCATGTGTTAAATAGTGGATACGTATAGTAACTTACAACAGTCAACGACGCTTACTTTGTAAATCAAACTGAACAGAGCCACATAATCTGATCCATATTTACAGTTTAAAATGTTACATAGGAATATTTACTTTTAATCAACATAATATATAGAAAATCTATTACCCTTTCATGAAAAAAGGGTAGTGAGCTGAATGAAAAATAATTTTGGTAATACAATAAATGAAGTTTTGTTGTGTTGTCACATCTTGTGTTTCGAAATACTCTTCCGGCTATATTGACATTTTTACTTGCGCATATTATTTTAGGATCATAACTTACCTGGCCTGGCTACATGTTTGGATAATGTAGTTGTCCTCCTATAACATCCAAATGTGACCTATTGGGATAAAATAATTCTGTTGTGATGTTACATATCTGGATATTATATTCATTTTATTTGGATGTGGCATCTAAGGATTACTGAGAGGGCTCTGGCGTGACATCATATCCTGGATAATCCATTCTGCTATGACGTGACATATTATTTGAATAAATCACTATCCAGTTGCGCACGTGGCATACCTGTACATGTGTCTGGATAATGAACTTTGCCGTGACGTGACATATTTGGATAAATCTCTGTCCAGTAGCGTACCTGGCATACCTGTATATGTATTTATCTGGATAATGAACATTGTCGTGACTTGACAGGACATATTTGGATAAATCACTATCTAGCGGCGTACGTGGCACACCTGTACATGTATCTGGATAATGTACAACGCCGTGACGTGAGGTTTGTGTACTCGGTATTCGGAGTGAGTACCTCTCCACGACGTGACATCCTCAGATAATGTACAGTATTCAGCTGTGTTGTGATATTCTACTTGGATAATGTACTTTGCTGTAGTAGCGAAGAGTGATACTTCGGGGGATGGCGATAAAGAGGCCGAGGAAGAGAAAAAGACCAATTCTAACGATGAGCCCTGGAAACAAGTAAGTTGTCTACAAATTAGTTTTACATTGTGCTTTGCTTTAGTAGAATTTTACGGTACTTGCAACACAAATAGGTCATATAAATGCCGAAGATTAGAGGTGTTACTTGGGAGTAACATTCAAAGAAGAGAAGGAGAAGAGATAAGGGAGATTATTATATGTTTCACTGAAGTCACCTTCTTTATGATCTGTAGGGCCCTATCAGTCACTTACTATTTATGTGTAATTGTTATAGCTGCGATTACACACACACACACACACACACACACACACACACACAAACACACACACACACACACACACACACACACACACACACTCACACACACACGCGCGCACAAAAAAAACGGCACGTACACACAGACACCTAATCTTGTCTCCTTTCTCTCTGTCTGTCTCTCTGTCTCTCTCTCTCTCTCTCTCTCTCTCTCTCTCTCTCTCTCACACACGCACGTGGGCCCAAAAAAAAAACGGCACTGTAAAAGATATTCTTATATTATATCACGTGCAACACGTGTAGTATTTTATGGGTACGGTGAGCGCTTGCGTAGGTCGAGTATGTGTTTGTGTTTAACTTTAGTTGAGGTCTTACGGCGCTCGCAACTAGATAAGGCCATATGAGCGCCAAAAGATTAGAGGTGTTACAAGAGAGTAACAAACATAAAAAAGAAGAAGGGGAGATAGAGACGATAGATGTTTGATAGGAAAGAATATAAGCAAACCACACCTAAGCACCTGCCAACCACCCACTATGTGTTTGTGTTTCAAGCACGTCGGCACTTTCTTGCGTACGTGCACAGTGCCAGAACGCCTTTTTTCGGTACTCCAGACATACTTAGCCCTATCCGTACGTCGTGTTTCACTATCGTATCCATACGACGTGGGGAACTCTGTGCCACCACTTTCCATAGAGGAAATTTACTTGTTAATCCGATCCGTACGCTTTGCATAGCAGCAGTGTGTCAAAATTATTTTTTGAGAAATTCTGAAAGTTTCAAAGAGATCTTCGTACTAGAAGTAATCTAAAATGTGAAGAATACAACTCCGTGGGTACAAAATGACCCCACGGCGTACGGATAGGGTTAAATTACATTACTCCTGTATGAAAATATGTGTGGGTCTCAGAGTTGTATGTCTGTGCGTTGATAAATTTTAATTCTACGGTACTGAATAGAAGCATTCGAAAATGTAAAATATATAACCCCGGGGGTAAAAATGACCACATGGCGTACGGATAGGGTTAACTTTCATAATGACACTGGTGATATTTCGCCTCACGTTTCTTCAAGTGACGGTTGAACAAAAGAGAGAAGCACCCCGGTATGTCATGGCCTTACAAACAAAAACACACGGACATTTTTGACTAAGTGTATGGAAATCAATGCGTATTATGTAAGAGTGCTTTTACTTTTTTCCACATTGATTTCCATACACTTCGTCAGAAATGTCCTTTCCGCGATTTCAGGAGTTCTATATCTTTGGTTTACACACAAAACAAAACAAAACAAAAACAACAACAACAACAACAATCGCAAAGCAAAAAGACAAAAAACAAAAAACTAACCCCAACAAATGGTCCCTTTTAAGCACAAGGGGGCTATCCCGAAAAATGCTGTTTTGAGAAAATCGAAGGTAACATTTTTAGATCCTTATTCAGTTTCTTTAAAAGACGAGGAGAGTTTTCTCTACAGTACTATAACCAAACAAATATACACACCAATGAAACCAAACTTCTCATATAGGTAGGGCAATGCCCACTTTTGGTGTAGGTCAAGATTTCTGGAAACCCCCGAAATCTTGGTTTGCCCGCTTGTCCTTAAAAGCGACCAAATGCACTCTTACATAATACGCATTAATTTCCATAAAGTTAGTCAGAAATTATGTCCTTTCCGCAGTATCAGGAGTTCTATATACTATCTTTGGTTTACCAACAAAAACAACAACAAAAAAACCAACAAAAATACGCATAACAAAAAGACAAAAAAAACAGAAAGCTAACCTCAACAAATAGAAGGTTGTGTAACTTGCTCTTATAATCACCGTGAAAATACGATTATGAATGCTTGGAGTTTGAAACTCAAGTGTCTATACTCCCTCCCCCCCCCCCCCCCCACCACTCTCTAAAGAGGAAATTTACTCGTTAATCCGATCCGTACCGTACGCTTTGCATAGCAGTCTGTCAAAATGATCTTTTAAAGAAATACTGAACGTTTCAAAGAGATCTTCGTACTAGAAGTATTCTAAAATGTGAAGAATACAACCCCGGGGGTACAAAATGACCCCAGGGCGTACGGATAGTGTTAAACTGAGACTAGTTGGGACTTCCTTCTTCATAGGCTATCTCCTGCCGTCTTTCCCCGGGTTCTAAAGCAGGCCTTAGGCCTATATAGTTGCTGCTAAGTATCTCGTGCAGACATCTCTATGCCGTAGAAAGGTTCACCTTTTACGTTGTTCAAATATCCATCAATTCTCAACATAGCATATTTGTTAGCCTTGCTATTCTTAGTCTAGAATATTCCAAGCCTGTGCTGCCGAAGTCATGGAAATTCTACGGGAAATATATGAATACAAATGTATACACTTAAACACACATTACTGCGAACATTAACAATAACTGCTAATCCATACATAGCATAAATCAAAAGAGAGGTGACATTTAAACCCGCGATACACAACCAATACATGATGGAAAGGTGGCTGCACTGCCGAGGTAGGTACTACTGCTGACTCGACAGAGTTAAACAAGAACAGTGGGAAAAGGGGACATTTTTCGTAATATTATTATTATTATTATTATTATTATTATTATTATTATTATTGTTATGACCATGACCATTTAGGGCTTAGCAAGGAGTTCAACTCAATGCAACCCATTCGTGAATGAAAGGTTGCGTAATTTTGTTCTTATCATCACTATGGAAATACGATTGTGAATGCTTGAAATGTGAAAGTCAAGGGGTTACTCTCTCTCTCTCTCTCTCTCTCTCTCTC